CTTCTAACAGGAAGCACTCCTCTTGCATATGGATCTACACTACTCTCCAACTCTACACACCATCCAGACACTAAGAGTTCCCACAGCTAGACGTCCAGCCCAAGGCCGCTGCTAGACTGTTGTACCCAATTGCCCACAATCCCTTCACTCGGATTCTAATCAGTATTTTACAATCGACATGTACAAAACAGAGTGCCAATCCTGCTCTTCCATAGCTTTCTCCACCTCAGTTCATTTGCTCCATTCTTTCAGTTGTTCATGCCAAAGACCTTGGAGGCAGCCTTGACTCCTCTCTTACTCTTACATCTCATATTCAGCTCGGCTCATACACAATCCTTTTGGCCGTATTTCAAAACATATCCAGAATCCAACTGCTTCTCACCACTCGATCACGGCCACTCTGGTCCATCTTCAACCAGAGCCTACTAACTTCTCTCCCTGTTTCTATCCTTCTTCCCTTTATTCTCTCTCCACAAACCACCAAAGAGAGGATAAATTATGTCACTCCACTGCTCAAAACCCTCAAGGGACCCAACTCACTCAATGAAAACCAACACCTTTACAATCACCAGCAAGGCCCGGGCCAACCTGCCATCACTCCCTCTGCCACTCATTACCCTCCAACCTCAGCTCCTTACCCTGGCCCCTCCCTCACCTCCTTCCAGCCACACTGGGCTCCTGGCTGGCCCACAAACAAGCTGCGGGTGCTCCCCCGTTAGGCCTTTTGAACTTGCTTTTCCCTCTGCTGTGCGTCCATTCAGCCACATGGTTCCTTCCCTTACAACCTTTGGATTTTTACTCAGCCATCATCTTCTCAGGGAGGCTTTTCTACATCCCCTACTTAAAACTAAGAAGCTTAGTAGCACAGTGCCTAAGGCATCTGACTGCTAACCAGAAGGTTGGTGGTTCAAACCCACCAGCCACTTGCAGAAGCAAGACAGGGCAATCTACTTCCATAAAGATTTCCTGCCTTGGAAACCCAATGACAATCATTGTGAATCGGAATCAACTTGACGGCAGTGGGCTTGGTTTTTTGGTTTCTTTAAAACTGCAACCCCTCCCCCAACACTCCACATCCCCCACACCTGCTTTCTCACAATATGATATGTATTTTACTTCTTTATTTTGCTTACAGGAAATCTGGTGGCACACTGGTTAAGCGGTTGGCTGCTAACCGAAAGGCTAGTGGTTCAAACCTACCAGCAGCTCTGTGGGAGAAAGATGAGGCAGGCTGCTTCAGTAAAGATTTACAGCCCTGGCTGTATGCCAATAGTGCATCGTGGGTAAACTGAATCCCCCAGAACTTGAAGTGTGTATGCGTGTACTGTCTCTTTCCCTTTGCCTTGGGGCATCCCTCAGAGCAGGATGGGTCACCAGCAGCTCTACCAGAGCCCCCTGCGGAAATTCAGCCAAGGTGCCCGCTCCTGTCGCGTGGGCTCAAACCAACACGGCCTGATCCGGAAATACGGTCTTGATATGTGCCGCCAGTGTTTCTGTCAGTACATGAAGGACACAGGATTCATCGATCTGGACTATATGATCTTCCTCGAATGGATGATCCAGGACGTCTACCCAGCAAAAGAAACAATGCCAATTCTTTGTACATAAAATAAAAAACCTTCAATTAAAAAGAAAAAAAGATTTACAGCCTTGGCAAGCCTATGGGGTAGTTCTGCTCTGTCCTATAAGGTCACTATGAGTCAGCATCAAGGGCATGGGTATGGATTTTGCATATGTGCCTTTCCCCACTAAAATTGAAGACCCACAAGGGTAGGGATTTTGTCTTTGTATACTGCTGTCCAGAACAGCACTGTCCGAAGGAAGGATCAAGGGAGTCACACGAGAGTCACATATGTAACTGTTCATTTTCTAGGAGCCATGTTTAATCTAATAAATCCAAAAGGCTAACATTTACATCATATATTTTGTAAGTTAGACACTATAAAACTACCAATAACATGTTCTATCTTCTTTCCTACTAAGTATTCAAAACGTTTTCTTTCTAGCACACTTCAAGTGCTCCATAGCACATGTGGCCACCATGCTGGCCAGCACAACTCCAAAGCAATGCCTGGCACAGAGGAGGCACTAATATTCATTGAATGAAAGAATGTTTTCCTTGGAAGAGGCAACTATGGTGTAAAACCAAAACAAAACTCACTGCCATCAAGTCACATCTGACTCACAGTGACCCCTCCTTGGGTTTCCGAGGCAGTATCTCTATGGAAGTAGATTGTTAACCTGCCTTCCAAGGAGTGGCTGGTGGGTTTGAACCTCCAGCCTTCTGGTTAGCAGTCAAGTGCCTTAGGTACTATGCTACCAGAGCTCCCAACCTTTGCCATTAGTAAAGGTTTTTATTATTTTTCCATAAAGTATCATGTTTTCTTGGGAGATCTGGTGGCGTAGTGCCTAAGGCATTTGACTGCTAACCAGAAGGCTGGTGGTTCAAACCTACCAGCTACTCCTCAGAAGGAAAATTGAGCAATCTACTTCCATAGTGATACTGCCTCAGAAACCCAAAAAGGGGTCACTATGAGTTAGGACTGACTAGACGGCAGTGAGTTTGGTTTTTTTTTTTTTTTTTTGGTTTATCATGTTTTCCTACATTTGGAAAAAATAACTTAAAATCAGGCTTTATCACTTCCATAATGAAAAAAGAGCAAGCCCAAAGTTTAAGAGGCCTAGGCATATGACTCCCTGCTCGGTCATTTATTAGCTCTGGGATCTAAAGCAAGGGCCTTTCTAAGTCTTGGTGTCTTTTTATCTGTGAGGTGGGTACAACACTGATCTCCACAGGATCCTGGTGAAGATTAAATGAGATGTTTGTATAAGCTCTGGACTAGGAAAGTAGTAGAAGTAAGAAGAGTCTGAGAAGCCAACTGAAGCCATTCTCTCATGCCTATTGTTTTCATAAGGACCAATAAGAGAAAATAGCAAACCCGCCAGCCACTCCTCGGAAGGAAGGCTGGGCAACCTTCCTCTGTAGCAGTACTGCCTTGTAAACCCAAGGAGGGGTCGCTATGAGTCGCAAGAGACTTGACGGCAGTGAGTTTGGTTCTTTCAGTTTGTCTGACAAGAAAAGAACTGAGGTATTAGATCTGGATTCAAACCCTCTGTCTGCCACTTACCGATGTGTGACCTCTAGAAATTCATTTACTCTCCAAACATTTACCAAGTGCCTACAACATGCCAGGCCCTAGGCTAGTAGACAAATAAGCCAAATCAGATATGAACCCTACCCTTAAAATATTTGCAGTCTAGTAGGGAGAAAAGGAGGAGTCCCTGGGTAGCAAACAGTTACTCGCTCAACTACTAACCAAAAGGTTGGTGGTTCAAAAGGACTAAGAGGCGCCTCAGAAGAAAGGTCTGGCAATCTGTTGCAAAAAGGTCACAGCTTTGGAAATACTGTAGAAGGCAGTTCCACTCTGCAACACAGAGGGTGGCGATGAGTCTCATCAACTCAATGTTGTTCTTGTTGTTGTTATATGCCATCCAGTCAGACCCAACTCATAGCAACCCCTCCTTGGGTTTCCGAGGCACTATCACTACGGAAGTAGATTGCCCTATTTTCCTTCCGAAGAGTGGCTGGTGGGTTTGAACCGCCAGCCTTCTGGTTAGCAGTCAAGTTTCTTAGGCACTATGCCACGAGAGCTCCAATAGCAACAGGTTAAAAAGGAAGAAGGGATACCACACAAGAAAGAGCAATACAATTGTTAAAAAACAATCCATCCCTTAGGTCTGCTTGTTCATGGTAAAACGGGAATAACATCTTCCCAGCCTAACTCACAGGGCTGCTATGAAAATTAACTTAAACATGTTCATCAAGTACTCCAAAAACTTCGTCTGCTACACCTAAGTACTTCTTTTCCCAACCTGTAAGTCATTATGACTCTGCTGCAGTGACTGTCCAGTTTGAACATTCACTCCAGCTATACAGCATGCAGGAAAATCATCTCACGTCTGCTAATTGTGGTAAGCGTGAGGAGAAAAAGGAGGGATGAACTGCTTTAATGCAGTATTTAATCACAAAATCACGATTCAGGTCACAGCTCTAGCAAACACAACAGATCTCACAGTCCTACCTATTTACTTAGTCGAGATAACCAATCACGTGGTAAGGGAGGCTGAATAATTTAAACCATAGAAAGAACAAAAGTCACAAGGCGGTAGAGGTAGACACGCCTCTGTCCAAGGTTTCAGCAGACACTGTGTGGCTGAGGTAATGCTGGGCTAGGTCGCGGTCAACAATTCAGACTAAAAGCCATTTTATGGCCACAGCAAAGTGCCCAAGCTTTTTTTTTTTCCGCCCCCTAGCCTTGAAGATGACCTGGTCTGGGAAAATCTCAAAGAAAGATGATCGGAAGGGCTAAGTTTCCGAGAAGTGGAAACCCAACCCAAGCAGGACTAAGGGGGTGTGACGACAGCAAAATGATCAAGATTGTGTGAAGCCTCCTGAACTTTATAAACTGAATGGAACAGAAATCACAAAGTCTCTAGTAACACTCATTTCCAAAGAGGAAGGAAAAGAGACTCCCAGACAGGGCTCAGGACGCATCTTCATCCATTTCTCCTTTCCCTCCAAGTCACCCGCCCATTCTCAGGCACCCTGCTTCAGCTCAGTACCAAGTCGCTCCTTCCTCCTCTCCCGATCCCTCCACAAAAATCACTCCTCTCCGTCCCTGGGCACCTGAGCTCCTCTCCCCTTCCGGAAAGACCTGTTTCCCGCTGCACCACCCGTGGCTGCCTCAGCGCCCACCCCGGAGCAACCGTCGCGAGCGGCCCGCGCCGCGCCCACCCCGCTCAGGCAGGAGCCGGGACACCCCTCCTCGGAGGCCGGAACCGCCGCGCCAGGC